TATCAAAAGTATATCAGATTTTATTTTAAACCAAGTTTCCAGAAGCTACAAAGTTCGTTCTTATTGTGTGACTGAAAGCCAACTGTGCTGTCTCACGGCACCGAAACTTCCACTTCAACTCAAGCCCTGATTGAGGACGTGGTCGCTTTAATGCAGACCAGATGGGTAAATTTATTTCAGTATTAGCCTTCTAAATCCCACATTCTGACTCCTCTGTGTCAAATACACACCACCTGCGGTTGGTTTATTCGGTTTTTAAAGATAAGCACAACACAATTTCTCTTGGTTGGTATGTCACGGTGCTTCCTGTTCTCATTCTCGGCAAAAAGAGTTTCTGTTTCTGTTGGTATTTCTGTCTCTTCCTTTATCTAATCTGTGTAAATAGATCTCAGCATTGCTATAACATGCTCTGTGATATTTATAAGCCTTGTGCTGTATGAAAACATAGACTGATATCTCTGGTCTCTGCTGTGACTGATATTTTCCAGATGATGATGATGAGGGAGCACACATAGTCCGGGGCATCAGAGCCAGCAGGCTGCACTGTCCACCCCACAGCTGTCAATCAACTGCCATGGGGGCGGGACTGCGCTACTGACTCCGCCCAGTGCTGTCACCTGTGGCTCTTCCCACCTGAACTGACTGTCTGGCCCTGGCTGTACATAACCGACAATTGAATAATAGCTGATCATGTTCCTATCAGGACTCTGACATATGACACATAACAGTGTTGGACTCTCTGACATCTTATACTGACTTTATCTTCTCCAAAGTTCACTTTCCACGAGTTTGTGTGTGTGCGTGCATGTGTGGGTGTGAGTGTGTAAATTACTGAACAAAGTTAAGATGCTTGTAAAGCATTTTAAACCTTTTTAATATGGTTGGCAGAGGATGACAGTTTTACCCTGTGCAAAGGTGCCTATATATATATCTATAAAAAAGTGCTTTTTTGTATTACGTTAATGCAATTACCAATGTAGTATAGTATTTTAATTCACTTGTTTTATATGCTTACAAATCGTTGTCTGCAGGATTCTGTTACTTGCCTTGTTGTAGACAACTCAGCAGCTCGCTTATGTACAAATCATTTGTCAGCACTCACAAATAATTGGCTATCAAAATCTTCCTAACTGGACTCTCCCTTGGCCGACTAAGTTCATTTTCAGTTTAATCATACGCCCCATTGACCTTTTCATGGTGGATAATCTCAAAGCGAGCATAGTTTTTATTCTTTAATTTTTATTGCTTAATTCTTTTATATCTTAATTCCTTTATCTGCTCTTCACTGGGTTCAGACTCAGAGGTTCATAAGATTTAATTTTTCTGTTGCATCATCAAATGGCACATTACTATAATAAGAAAAAAGGGAGCAGTACACTTTTAAATGCATTTACCCGTGTAATGATATTCACATTTTCAACTTTTCACTAATTGTTTTATTCACTTGACCTTTTGAGATTCACTTCCATATAAATGATGTAGACTGTGTTTTACTCATTTATCAAGCTCAGGTATTTAACTTGTTTTGAGCAATGTTCCAAACTTTAACAAACTTAATCCAAGGGATGACACAAAATATTCATGCACTATGTAAAACTCTTAGCATTCCAGTCATTTGGAATTAGATTTGTCTCCCTGTGATGTCATCAGGGTTGCACTGTGGATGATCTACATTCACTACCTCATTTGGGCATAATACTAAGCAAAATATAACTGCTAACTAATCATCAGCTGAAAGTTTGTTTTTTGTTGCCTTCCATGCTTTAATTTCTGATACTGCTGCAGCAATGTAAGAGCACCCTAAGATGAGGCAGTATAGTGACATCACTGGTTGGTATGGTTACAGGTGCAAAAAAGCACACTTATGACCACACCTGTCAGTGATGCTGCATGAGTTGAGAGGTGGAATGGACTTGAAACACTGCTTTTCAATCTGGTGTTAGTTGCTCTATGGACAATGCCCAATTCAAATAAGATGGTCAGTAGTGTTTAGTTAAGTGACCTCAGCATCATACACACAGATACATGCTGCTTTACCAAATAGCCACTCCTTTGCACTTTGGCGTTTTTAACAGCAATGCAGTCTTTGATAAATAATATGTGTTAACGGTCTGTATATGTGGGAAATGATATAACTGACTAATTGCTTATCTGTTGTGCAATCAGAGTGAGATTAGACAAAAAGTCAGTTGAAAATGTGTTTTTTGTAGGACCAAATAATTTGATACAAGATTGTTCAAGGAACAGTGGCATTTAATTAAACACATTCTTGAAGCATTTGAGTTCTCTGATATTGTTCACCTTTTTCTTCTGCATTAGATTTTGTTTTAGGTGATGAGTTATTTTCACCTCCCTCAGCAACAGTCTGAAGGTGACTCATGCTGGGGGTAGTATTAAAAGCCAATTATTGTTCATGTATTCGAGCTGACTGTAGAGCGATTAAAAATGGAAACATTGTTTCTGCAGGATTAAAAGACGACCCACTAAACTGACTGAGGGTGATCTTGCTAGAATAGCACCCATGTCTGCTTTTGGCTTACGTAACAGGTACCTCTCCAGGCTGGGTGCGCAGGTATGCACACACACAAACACACAGCTTATTATTTGACACACCTGACACACAACACATTCACAATCTCTCACACATTTAGCCTCTGTTATTAATACAGCAGACCCTTTTCTTTTAGTCGCGCTCAAAGTAGGAAGCTCAAATGGTGTTCCAAGTTAGCTAATCGAATTTGAGAAACTGTTTTCACTCGTATCTTGAATGATGAGCAACTTAAGAGACAATAAAATAATTCAATTAAACCTACATATTTGATATTAAGTTACTGAGACAACAGAAAACATTAGCATTCAACCACTTTTATAACTAACAGTGTTACAGAGACTGTAAGTAAGGCGTAACTTCCCAGTTAATGGTAATGCTCGCAAAATAACTATGATGTTCTCTTGTAATTGTTTGGACTTTTGGGTTAGCTGATGTGACTCAACCCCATTATTTATAAAAACAAAACATTTGTTAACCTTTTGGGAAAATTAACACAACCGCTAACATTCTGCTAATTCCAAGATAACTTTAGCGAGCTATCTCCATCAGCTTTAGGCTACCTTTCTTATTTAATCAAACAACACTTATCAAACAGTAATGCTAGTTAGGAAGAGGTTGAATGCTAATCACGCTTTTTAACTGTAGCTAGTGTCTCTTTGCGTTATTTAAGTTGAAATTTGACTCTATCCTTCTGGAGTTTCACTATCCATTGAGCGTCGTACACTGAGCGTGACAGAAAAATGGCTACCCATGTGAAAATGATACATTGTCGATGTTACTGCTACAATCATGTAAATCAAACGCAGGCCATTCGTCTACTAAAGTTATCTTTTTTTCATCTCTTTTCCCCGTTCAGCTCCCCGACCACTGCTCCACCCATCTGTCATCACTGGCCTACCGAAGCGTTCTGAAGTGATGCCCTTCATTCACCTCCAACACTGTAGCTCTGTGACTCCACACAAGTAGCCTATGCACTAAAAAAAAAGAGGATTTTTATAAAGTATCCTCTTTAAAACCAAATGTTTGCACTTTATACCTTCAGGTTAGTTTACCTTTTATTTAAGTGGTTGTTTTTCTGAGTGTTCAGACTTGGGATATGTTTCTGACTTAAATTGTTGTGCCTTATTATTGAAAACCCTCTTTTTTTTGTATGTGAATTTGAACTGATGGTGTTTTAATGACATAACCTTCTGCAAACGACAGAGGGCGCCATTTCTCTCAAATGATTGTCACCTCTGGCCTCAGTATTGTACTTTCTAATAACTACCTTCAGCACCCTCAACAGGCCCAGCATGTGTATCAAGTTACTTAGTGCCTTCCATTATGTCAATCCTTCACTTTTTAAATGTGGCAATAATTTACATACATCATTGGGATAGAAGAAAAAAAAAACATGCCTTACAAGTGATTTCTGTGACCTGTTGAATTTTTGCAAATAAAATAATCTTATATTTGAACAATAAAATGAATTAAATTAACACAGCTTTTGGACTTCTTGTATATGGTTACGTAACTCGAACTAAGTTACACACACGCACACACACACAGGATAGTCTGCTCTGCACACTCGCTACCTCCTTGGGCACCTGGACCCTCAGACTGAGCGCCCCCAGAAGCAAAGGAGAAGATTTACGCAGTTAAATTATAGACTCGACGCCTTTTTACTTAGAGACGATGTTGACAAAAGAACTGTTCCCATGCATGTCGTGTGTAGACCCAATATGTGAAAAATATCCCATTGATGCCGATGCTGGATACAGAACCTGAGGGGTGCACAGAAACTTGTTGCGCACAAACGCTGTACGACCAAGAGAATATGAGACTCTCCGTGGTCTCACTGTTCCTATCAATAGCATACTTTTGAAAAATCAGTCACTCATTTTCATAACGCACAAGATAACTAACTCTTCCAATTAATTTGGAACACTTAAGATATAAAGTAGGCCTAGTCTAGACTCTATAGGCAACTTTTTTTTGTCACAGACCATGCTGTTTACGCCCTTGTGGTGGGCAAAGAGTGGGACATGTTTGGAAAATCTCTATCCTAAATATTAGCTCAGGTGTTATAATAGCCTACCAGTTTATCAAACCTACATGTCTGCTGTTTGGTATAGTAAGTGCTTCGTTAAGACACTGAGATCTGTTCTCCTTGTGCGTATCACATCCTAAAACACATACCTGAACATTAATAAGGCAAACATAAATATTGTGAACAACTATATAGGCACACAGACTGTTGAGCTTTCCAAAAGGCAGCTCTTAATTGGGTAATATACCATCCAGTGCGCTCGCCCCCCCCCCCCCCCCCCCAGGGAGAAGGCGTGCAGAATAACTAATGCTGTGATTACAGTCGATCGCCAAGTTAAACGACACCGTCAACGCACGCGGTATAAAAGCGCGCGCACGCTCAGCGTCCCATTGGCTGCGAGAATTTTCCAAGTGTGGTCTTCTCTCTCCGGCTGCTCCCGACTCACTTCTCACTTCATCCCCGTGTCTGTGTCAGCGCGGAGAGGGAGCTCGTCATGCTGAGGAACGGCACGTACAGGTTAGTGCTCACCAGAATCCCGCATTTGTTGCTACAAGTTTAAATTTGGGGGTAAATGGGAAGCTCCAGCACAGACTGCTACGACATGCACAGCTGAGGAGTGATACAAAAAAAAAAAAAAAATCTTGCATGACGTTATCTACTCTGCAGCTGTACAGAGCAGTACAGGCTGTTCACGTTACTTAAGGATTATTGCATTCAACATTTAGGAGAGTTTTTGTGTCCTAACTTGAGCGGTGTCCTTCCAGAGGCATTTACCAGGGGGAGGAGGCGAGGCTGCGCAGCGGGGCTCTGGCTGTGGCTCGGGAGAGAAAACACCTTGCTTTGTGCATTAATAACCAGGTAAGAGATTCAGATGACCTAGTAGATCATATGTCATGACAGCAAAGTAGATATCTTTTTATCTATCTTGGTCAACAGCAAAAAAAAATGCTTACAGATGCAAAACATTTAAGCAATGATGTAATACACTTTCTGATCATTTTTAGTAAGTTGAGGCTATTACTACTCGAATGCAAACTCTTTGCTCAGAGGAAAAAAACAAGCCAATAGACCTTACATGTAGAAGATTGTATCAGAATTAGATATCTCCCTCAGTATGCCTAAGAAAATATTCCCCAGGGGTTTAACAGCTGGAGAGACGTCAGAGAAGCATCAGCACCATGGACAGTGAACTCTTCTGTGCTGCTTTTTGAAACTAAAATTAAATCCCTCCCCTTCCCCTTCCATGTGTCCAACCTTAACCGCTTTAAATTTATCTCCCCTCTTTTGCTCATTCAAACGGCACACTTGGCTGAATGCAATATGTGTTGGAAAATTGCCTTTTCATGTCCGCTTTAGGCCACTTACAGATTTTTGTCATGGCAGCAGCTGAAAAGGTCTCATTAATACTACATACATGGCATACCTCCTGCTCTATACGCCTTCATTATCAGCAGGGCAGCAAGTGAGAGCATATCAAGCTAATATTCACAGCTTCTCACAGACTGGAGCTCATGTGTAGGGAGAATATGCTTTAAAAACCCCACGCCGTTAGTTTTAGGAGGGCAAAAGTGATCATTTTCCAGATTATTTGAATCAGAATGGTTAGAATAATCTTTGACAGAAGTACATGCTTGTGCTTCAATGAGCGTAGGTGCACAAGTTCACCTGGTTGCATTGAGCTTCTGAATATTTAATGCCAGTGATGTAGTGTTGCGCATTATTGGCGGCTGGGGATATTGAACGCGTGAGCCTTGAAAGCGCTGTTCCATCACAGATTTGACTTACTCTGCAATATATTCTGACTGTACAACACCCCCTCCGACACACACACACACTCTTACACCCTCAAATATACTCTTGTTCCTTGCATGTTCCCTTAAACTGTCCAATTTTGCCCTCAGATTTGTTGACACCACACCACCTATTGGTTGAATTTCAATTAAATGAATGACATGTCTCAGTTGGATCCAGCTTAAGGCTGTGAGATGTCTTGTCAGAGGACAATTAGAAGAAGCCTAGTGAAGGACGAAACCGGAATTGGCGTGTGAAATATGACTGAGGGCAGAAATGCAGGTTATTGAATATGGGGTTATCTGCCTGCTGTGTCTGCGATTCAGATTCATTGTGGAGGTATGAAGCCCCCCCCCCACAGGACACATTAATCTATCCAGCTATTACCCCATAATCAATGGGACGGCTACATTTTACAGCCATGGGGTCCCAGTTGTTAACCATTTTACACAGAGCTTATTTAAACAGCCTGCCGATGGGGTCATATTTAATGGGGTTAAACACGAAATACACAGTGCAGGTGACATTGTTGACACAGCAGTTACTGTTTGAATTTAGATATCATTCATAAATATTATGCACAAGGCCTCTTGCCGTGAACATGCATGGAAATTGTTCCAGGGGTTTTAATGAACAGAAATCCAACACACACAGGTGTAGTTCAGCAACACAAACCGTGGGAGTCAGACACAGTTAAAACCTGCTGTAAGACTGTATATATATATAGAGAGAGAGAGAGAGAGAGGGATGTACATAGAGGGAGTGTTGTGCCAGGGAAGGGTGTCATATTTCAGAAGTGCATTATCGTCTGTGCCCCAGTGGGACAGAGCCTTGCTGAGTGCTGTTTGCTCCAGCTCACTCAAACGCCCTGCGATTGAGTCGTAATAACCCGTGCACGAGCGAGATGAGCCTGCACACTGACAGATAGGTGTCTCTTGGCCCGCCACGGTCATACGACAGAGAATTATATATCCACTCTGTGCGTGTGTGTGCTTTGCTTTAATGCCACTGGAAAGAAAAATGAAATCTGAAAGGGAAAATGCGCCAGACTTCCTACAAAACACTCCAAAACACTCCTGCCAATTTTCTTGTCATTTCCATGACATCCCATTATCGTGTCTTGGAAGCCTGGCTTGGACGTAACGGATGAGTCAACCTTTGAAGGAGCCCCCTTTACCAATGATAGTGTGTGAGGGAGAGACTGCATCTGTGTGTGAACAAGCTCTGGATCCCTCCCTCACCATATGTTAACCAGAACAGCTCCCTATTGGTTAGCAGTAGCTGGGGGAACCCTCTCAAGTGTTTCATTTTGCACTGTGATGGAGTGTTACTCGTCACAGCCCACCAAGCCCCACACTTCTTGGGATGTCTTCTTCTTGTTCTTCTTCTCTCTCTCTATATTAAAGTTAAATTCATGGCTTCCTCTGCTGCCCCCCCCCCCCCCCCATCACTGTACATCGCAGATACCATCTTTCCAACCTCTCGCTATCCCTCAAGTCAGTGCCCTGTGGTTTTCAAGACTCATGTATATTCCGTGTGCATGAGTGCTGATGTGATGTATCAGTTTGCAAAACTCAGCAGAAAATTAATTCCTCAGTCATTTTAATAGTGGATCAATGATCATTAATCGGGCAGAAATGCAAAACATGAGCTTTCACAGCTTCTCAAATGGGATGATTTAACGCTTAATATTACATTATGTTATAATCCCTTTAATATTTATAAGGGATGAGTTGTAGGTTGGACAAATTAAAAGATATAAAGACGTCACCTCATGCTCGGCGATCCATTTATTTAATTTTCTTGACAGAACAAACCACTATAAGAATTACATTTGCATCCCCTTAGTGTTAATGCTTTAAAAGTGAGCAGAAATGTCTCTAACTGCATTTGATAAGCCGCAAATGGAGAAGATCTAAAAATAACCTCACCGGTATATACATCCTCATCAGTCAGTCTACTCCTCCTGCTCCAGCCTTGTGCTGATGGCTGAGTATCATTGTGTGAACGTATAGCCTGTACACGCCGTTATCTGATCAGTGCAGAACTGCTTCCTCTCAGCAGTTCCGTACACAATACAAGTTTATCATTTTGATTATTCGTCAATTGCAACCTGGACTACTTTCTCTCCCTCTCCCCTGCTTGTTTTCACCCTCCTCTCTACTCAAACATGATTTAAAGATTGGAGCAAAAACCACATACTTTTCTGCAGTAGAAAGTGTTTGATTTGTCTAGATAGCCATAATAGTAAAAGAAAATAGCCTTTCAAATCATGCAATCTCATGAGCTCATCAGTAACACTCTCTCTCTGCGGGCTTTTTCTTTATTTACTAAGGCGAAAGAGTAAATGTTGACTTCCATATTACTCTTTGCACGCACAGCGCATGTTAATTGATTTCCGATGTTGCGATTAACGAGCATCTCCACCGGTACAGCTCTCCTCTCCTGATTGGACATTTCCCCGGGCTGATCTGCCAGTCGAGGTGCGGCTAAACAGCCGATAGTGTGGTGCAGATGATTCAAAGCTGCAAATCCTCTGAGATCAGATAGGTGTGTGTGTGTGTGTGTGTGTATGTGTATGTGTGTGTGTGTGTGTTTGCATGTGACTGTGTGCGTTCAGGTGTGTTTGTCCTCTCAGTGCGCTCAAGTGTGCGTCCGTTTCTGTCTGTTTGTGTGTGTTTTGTCATGAATGAAAGAAAACAAAAGTCTGAAGGGCAAAACTAGCTGATCCCTCACACACTCGAGGGAGCAAGCTTTTGTCATTTTCTGTGTGTGTGTGTGTGTGTGTGTGTGTGCATGCGTGTTTTAGTGTGGACATTCAGCTCTTCCAGCCATCGATCTCTTTGAAAGAACTAGGACTCTGAGAAATTATGATTTTAATAACTCGTAAATTAAAGGGCAGCAGACTTTCTGCTACACGCCGTCTTTTCCTTTCCGTCCCTTTTCTCTTCCTTCTCTCATTTTTCAACGACATAACACTTATTACAATCCACCTCTATACCTTCCCCAGCTTTTCAGTCTATTGATTGGCCTGATTTTGATATAATGCGATTAAGCTGCTGACATGCTTACAAACTCTTATTCAATGCAATCATATATTACAGCTATTAACTTCATAAATTGCCACGTACCAAATGCAAGTAATGCATTTCTCTTGTTATTAGCTGCAGCATTGTTGCTCCCTTCGTGTTTCTGTCCCTCTCATATAACTTTAGTGCATCGTATCCGCTCCAGAGACCTAATATATACGATTGGTTGTAAACACAAAAGATAGTCGTTGTAAAAGATGGTTAAACAATGATAGCAGCTGCAAAAAAAAGTATAAAAATCCTGCGTTTGATGTTTGAAAACTAAAAGGAATAATAACAATTCACATCACATTATAACTCTCATCATTTATAATCACAGTTTTAGTGCTTCTGATGTTTAATAAGTGTAAGTTGACGGACATTCATTATAATCTCAATTAAACGGATTAAAGCTTCAAATGTGTCATTTCTTTCATTTTCACTTTCTGAGAGTGAGAACTCCTGCATGTTAAACTTTAAAAAAAAAAGTCTTTCAGTGTTACATTTATTTATTTTCACTCACAAGTTCAACACCACCATTTGCACATTCCATGGCTTCTATTTTTAGCTTGAGAATTTGGACGGAGTCTGCAGTTAATGCAGCATAACACTTGTTGATACAGTTTTATTGTAAACCCTTATTGGCCTTTTGCCTGGCATCCTGAACACTTAATCCCCCGCTGGCTGCGCTGAGATGAGAAGCAGGAACATCCAGAGCTGTCGAAGGAATGCAGAAAACAGAAGAAAAAATAAATATATATATATATATATATACACACACACTACATGAGCTTAGAGGCACACACACAGAGAAACACTTTACGTTGAATTATATGTCAAAGTAATTCCAGACTTTAAACATTTATGAAATCTGTCGGGCTTTATAGTCCATTCTTATAAGCTATGTTATTGGAGAACGTGAAAATGAAATTCAGAGCTCTAACATAGCAAAGTCATTCAAAAAATCATGCTTATCTTAAATGTATTGAAACAGTCAGAATCCAACAGAATACATATGCAATGTGCTGACTAGTGAGTTCTTTGCACTGTCCCTTTAACTTACCTCTGAAGAAGACCAGAACATGAATGATGATTTAGAAATCATTATGATTTAGGTATCGAAGTTCTTGCAATAATTAACATCTTCGTCTTGCATTATGAACTGTTAATTCTTGCACCTTATATTTTATGGCGTTTTACATGAATGGATTTGTGCTTTTTCTATGCACGATGTCGAGCATAAATACATGATCATTCATGTACACTGGCTATTAAGTGTTACCTTAGACTCTGTCCCACTGTCGCATCGCTCTTTGGAGCTGCGAGGAACTGCTGAGTCGGGTGAATTCCCTGAGGGTTCATAACTACGAGGGTCACCTTTCTCATTACACATACTATCCATCATACGATACTGCCATTGTACTGATCCGAGAGCTGAGTACATCCTTACACACAAGCACAAGAACCCAAACAAACACTCACAGCTTTCACCCTGCCATCCAAAAGAGAGATGAGTGAATCCTTGAGATGAAGTGGAGCTGCTTCGGGAGCACATCCATCTGTCCGGTCCCATTGAGCTTGATGGCAGCGGACCCAAAACCGCCTGACTTTGGCCTCACCCCCCCTGGCCCGCATCCACTGCCTGGCTGGTTGGCACCTCCTCCACTGCACTCGCATGCTGTTGAGCAGCTGCAAACGCACACTGTGTTGTTTTTCTTTCCACTCAACTATGTTTTTTGATTACACAGTACATGCCTTTGTTAACAAACCCTGAGAATCTACCACTCTCAAGGTTACTAAAAAGATAACCCACAACCATAAAAAAGCTGTTTTCAGCAGTATTTCTTTGTAGGTACAGTAACAAGCTATGCCAAACCCACAGTATGTGTGGGTGGAAGAGCAGTTACACATACAGATAAAGCTTCTGATTTATAGGTTACCACAGCACAGCTCCCCTCGTGCCTGATTCATGGAAGAGAGAATTAGAAAAACATGTTTACATATTGGTGCTTTTTGTCTGTGTAGGATGAAGTGAAGAGGTACCATCGCTACTGCAACCACAGCGGAGGGCAAGCAGTTCCTAAGGTGGAGAGGTAAGTTGTCCCAACAGTAACATGAAAAATATGTTTTAAAGAAAGCCGTTAATCAGCAGTAAGGATGGTATAGTTCAAATTAAAATCCAGCTTTAACAAGGCCTTGCTGTTGTTGAACTTTATCGGTGCCATGAAATTCTGATTCTTTTTTTTTTTCTTCTTTTAGACTACAAGTGCAGCTGCCAACATATTTCTTTGTCTCATTCTTTTTTATCTTCATAGAAACCGTCCCCAAAAAAGTGAGGAAGAGGATGACAACAATCCTCATCGTCGTGAGCAACAGGAGCACCGGGAGAATAAGGCTATTGTGTATGTATCACCTGTGGCTCTTTTTGTGTTACTCAAAGACTCTTGTATACGGCAGCTTATCAGGATGCCTTCGGAGCCAGAAGGGGCCTTATTAGGATGACAGTGTGAATAGGTATTATTAAGTCTCTATACTGGTTTTTGGGCATCCATCGCTGGCTGGCACGCCTGAAGCATACCCTCTTTTGTTGCCTGTTTTTGCTGTAAATGGTACCCCAATTTACAGATTTAGTAACACTTAACACAAAGTACAAATACAAATACAAAAACACTATATTTGTATGCAACAAAGTTTGATACATCAGCTGAGAAACAGGGTCAGTTTCCTATGCAGTTTCCATCAGACTTGCCCCCTGCTGGCCACTATAAGAATTTAGGTTTAAGACACATTGCCTTGGCCCTTATTTTAAAACCAAGATGTTATATTCTTTTATACACTCTGTGTAGTTGTATTCTGTTTCTTTCCTACATTTTTAAAATATTACGCTTTGAGTATAGCCAACTGGGTTACCTTTGACCTTATAAGTGCATTATGTTCTTTGTGATGCTTTAATTCAATCTTAAACCTGATTAGGTTTTGGGGTTTGGGGTTAGAGGGCACCTCTGAGTGCGGGGACCCTCTCAGGCTGTCATCTAACACCACTTTACTCAAACACTTTATAGGTGTGTCAGGCAAGGACAGCTCTCGCCTCAGGCTTTCACTTCCTTGAAAGTCGTGGAGAAAATAGAGAAAGCCAATGTTTGTGCCTGGAGTTAACATGATTGGGGGTGTAGAGAGGTGACACAGAGAGAAAAATATGGTCCTAGACCTGAAAGGAGAAGGAGGATGGAGAGATGGAACAAGCAAATGGGGAATAAAAGTGGAGAAAATGGGGATGGAGGAAGAAGAAGGAGATTAAGGTATTGGTTTTGGAGCTAGGAGTTATGGCTTAATTCAGTTTGTTCCATTTGGTTCAGCTGTCTCTCTGCTCCACTGGAGGTGAATGCGTTTCTCCATTGGGTAATTGATCCAACACTCCATCCTGGACCCTGCCGTCAGGGTAACTAGGGGGGATGAAAGAAAGTGGAAAGTGAGGGACACATAGACAGATCTGTGAAGTCATGGCAGAGGGGGTGTGATACGTGGGGAGGGGTCAGAAATGTGTGTAAGAACGAATTAAATGGAAGAAAAACTAGAGTGGGAAGAGATGTCAGAAATGGACAATTTAAGAAGCTGATGTTTTTACTACTTTAATTTCCCATACTGCCCTTTTATTATCCAGGATTCAGCGGGCCTGGCGTGCGAGCACATCCCGCAGAGGAAGCTGGCAGGGACAAGGCAAGAACTGTACCAGCAATCTTAAGGATGAGACGATGACTTCGGAGAGCCTCCAGGACCCTGTGACTACCGCCAACATTTCACCGGTAAGTCTGTGTAAAGATTTGAGACGACCATGTGGTGCAACATGAGACTGAAGCAGATGGTGATACATCTATTTAAGTGATGTGCTGTGTGAGTTATCAGCTGTAGTTTCTGCAGAGGATGGGGGAAAAAAGTAACATGTGAATGGATGCATGGCTGGATAGACTAATAAAGAAGAGAGTGAGGGAGGGGTGTTTACCTCCAGTGTCATCTGTGGGACCGCGGGGGTCGCATTGGTGGAGGTAGTAGGATGCCAGCTGGCGCTGTGCCCAGATCTGTAATTAGCCGTTAATTAGGTAAATTTTCAAAGCTGGTTGATTGATTAATGAAGTGCCTCTGCCCTTGTCCTCCCCCCAATCACCCACCTCCTCGCCCCTTGCTGCTCCAGAGGGAGCTTGCAGAGAATTAAACAGTGCTCACAGGGTATGGCGGCTAAACAAAAGCCAGCGAAAATGACTGCATGAGAAGCAGATAAATGGTGAAAAGAAAAAGGAGGGAGGGAGAAAAAAAGACAAAGGAAAAGATAAGGAGATGAACGCAATGATGCAACAAAAAAAAAAAAGATACCTTTAGATCGCTTCAAGTTTAGATTGACAGACAAGGATGCATGTACACAAACACACACACATGCCCAGTCTGTCCTGCTGCTTTCTCAGTCTGTGATGGGTCTCGCAGAGTAGTAGTCACACAAGCAAACCCGCACACTCTCTCTGCCCACGCTCTTCGCAGAGACTCAGCACTGAAAAACATGATGTCATGTCTGCATACTCACCAGTGTGTGTGTGAGTTGCATTTTTTCTCGCTCTCTTTTTAAGCGGTGCTGGAGGAAAGCAAGATTCCCTCAGCAAACAGATGGGCTGGTGTCCTGGTGAGACTGTGTGTGTCTTTTGTTTTAAGGTTGTTTGTTCTGCTTGAGAGACTTTGTTGTTCATTAGCACAGCAGCAAATGTCTTCCTAATTAGAAAGTTACTGTAACTTAAGAACCAAGATGATGACACAGACCCCCCCCCCCCTCCTGTCTTCCATTTCCTTCCCTTACTTTATTTTCTCAGCGTTATTTAAAGTGTTATTTATTACAATTTAGTACCTACCACCGGTCCCATATCTGCAATGCAGCTGTGACTACTAGGTTGTTATACTATTGTTTAATGACCCCTACATTCCCACCTTTAACAAGGTCTCTGTGGCATTGTTCAACACTTTTAGTGGATTTTTTAAAGTACATTTCTCCACCTAATGTTCCAAAGAACAAGTTTGACATCCTTTACTTCAGTATTTCCCATTTTTTCTTTATGATTATACTTCTGTTCTCTAACTTTTCCAAGAGTATATGCTGTACTTTTTCTCCATTGCATTTATCAAACATCTAGAGTTAGTTTTTGCAAAGCTAATCTTTTCAAACAGAACATAGAGCTGGGCAATTAATCAAGTTTCTATTTCAATTATGATTTTGGCTTCCCACGATCATGAAATTAACATAATCGAGATCAAAAGATTGCTGTGCTGCATGCCGTGTGACGCTCATGTTATCCATAGGTTTTGTGGTAAATGGGCGCACCCTCTCTCTCTTTATAGCGCAGCATGTGCTCTGTCCCTCTCACCAAAAATCCACTTTAATGAGAAGCAAAGGGAACCAGGACACGTAGTATTGGACTGTATGGCTACTACTTTTTTGTTTTGTTCTTCTAGAAAAGTTTTTTTGACGAGTGATTTGTTTGTCAATGACTGCATGTTTCAAAGTGTTTTTGTTATATTTTCTGCCAAAAGAGTACATTACCACTACCTTCAAAAACATAGATAAGGGCCGCTGGTGGCTCGGTGTTCAGAGGCTGTGGCCCTCCAAGCGGGCAGCCCCGGTTCGTCATTCCCCACTCTCTCTCTCCCTGATTTCCAGATCTATCCACTGTCCTATCTCTCCAATAAAGGCGCAAAAAACCCTAAAACTAAACCTTTAAAAATTTATTTATTTATTGTTTTTAAAATTTATATGATTTTCACTTGTTTATTTTCAATATTTTACTTGTTTTTGTTGTTCAGAATGTTTAAGTGTTAAGCGTGTGTATGTTTGATAAAATGCATGTATGTAAAAATGTATGTAAAAATGTAAAATCAATGAAGGAATCATATTTAATAATCGTGATCTCAATTCCAAACTTATTTGAGATAATCATCATGATTTAGATTTTTGCCATAGTCCAGCTGCCCTACCCCAGAACATATGATAAACCTGTGATGTATGCTATAACCTGTCATAGTTTAATCTACTCAACAGCATATAGTGCTGTTAACATCCCACCTTGATCATATACAACAGGTGAATGCTTCTTGCACACTCCATCAGTATTATTTACATCAGTTTACATCACGTACTTTGATACTCTAATGCTCCTGTGAGAAGTTTTTTAAGCCACAGATGAAACAGACTGAAATTCACAGATATATTTTATTGACCAAAAAAAAGCAAACAAGACAATCAGAAAAAGATTGATATTTTTGTGAGCTTAATTTAATTCTCGTAAACTCTGCAGCTGAGTAGGTGACAGACAATATTGACAGCACCCTGCAGAAACAGCCTTTGTTTATATTTTTCTCAGCAAAGATTAAAGTAAATGATATGTTTGATACAAATAAAGAAGCAGGATGAGAATGTTCACCAGTAAACACTACATACAGATGTACAGGACAGGATCAGTAAAGATATGAGGTGCAGCTTCATCCACAGGGCGTGCACAAATTGATCCAAAACGAAGGTTCCTCACAGTATCCAGACTTTTTTTAAAGTAAAATATTTGAAATATTATCCTACGAATCATGAACACACAGATTGCATGAAAACTGCAATATGATTAGCAACAGTAAAGCTCTGGCAGATGAACAGTGCAAACATTGTTTATCACATTTAGGAAGGAAGGTAAAGTCCTCGCCTTCAGGACATATACTTTATGATATGCACCACTACTCATCCTCAACAAGAAATACAAAGACACAAAACCTAATACTTTTTAAATAGAAAAACATGGATCAAACGTGTAAAACTGCAACGTGAAAGAAAAAGGACATTCTGCAGTTTGAGCACATACTTCCTGCTTTCCAAACTAAAATTTTTTAGTTTACCTTTTTTTAGGGCACTGTAGGTTTTTTTTTTTGTCTGTGAGCTCGTTCACCTGTTCCCCTCTCTTGCATCACTCACAGAGCTTCCACCTCTGCCCCTTAACACATTCTCTTTCCTACCTCTCAGTTTTTTTCTTACGTCACCTTTTCTCTTGCTGTCTTCGTCTGTCCTCGTTCACGCTGTATCACTCTCCTGTGGCTGTTGAGCTCTCTGAAGGACGGACATTCATCAGTATAAGGCCAGGGGTGCCACATTATATCTGTGTGTGTGTGTGTGTGTGTGTGTGTGTGTGTGTGTGTGTGTGTGTGTGTGTGTGTGTGTGTGTGTGTGTGTGTTGGTGTTCATGTGAGCATATGTGGGCTTGAAGGACCTTGCAGCTGGCCTGCAGGGGAGGTGGGTTCAAACATGCTTCATGCATATTTCATGGAACTCTGATATTGCACACACACACACACACACACACACACACACACACACACACACACACACACACACCAAGGTTTTCCATGGAAAAATAATACATCCACCATCCTCACTCTCACTATACCAGGATTCTGTTTGTACCCCTGTCAGGTTGTCTCTTATGCCTCTTTGTGTGTCTTCCATACATTGCAGTTGTCTTGCAGGGGTGGGCTCAAGCGCGTAACCTTCTACCCAAATGCATTATTTATACAAAGAGGGGCCAGGCTCTCCATGTCCTGCTCTGGTCATTGCTTGCCCCTTGATAGTAAATCAATAAGTCGGACTGTTCTGAACACACTGCAGCTGTGTATTGGCTGTCTGGTGGAATCTGGTATGGGGAGCATTATGTAAGCTGTTGGGAGTCACTTTAAGGGCAGTCGAGGAACACAGACCTTCACTAAGGCCAAGTCGAGACATACGATAAATGCAAGTTTACAAGAGAAACACTATATTTGTCTGCAAATATTTCCCATTCTATAAGAATTTAACTGGTCAAAGTTAACGCTTGTATTTGAGCCAATACCACCATCAGGTGCTTGTTCATGATCACCTCTGGTCCAACATATAATGAGTTCTTCCTTTGTCAATGCTTCGTTTACCAAGTTCATGCAGCCAGATCCAATTGTGGTGAAAACATAACCCCACTGACAGAGGTAATAATAGTGTCGACAGTATGCATTTACAGATCGAACATCACAGCAACCGGCAGAGTTATGATCAAAAACATAATTATATGATATGATCTAATTTTCATGTTACAGCCAGGAGATAGTTTGCTTAGCTTAGCACAAAAAAGATGGCCTTTCTCTATCTAAACCTAAAATATGAAGGTCAACACTTTGAAACCTCAGTATTTACCACATTCTTTTTTGTTGATGTGAACTGTACACGTGTTAAAATGACAATTTGTACTTTAGTAGGGTTTATGTGAAGGCCCATTTCCATGGCTGGTACAGTGACTTTCTTAAGTCTCCAATATTAACCTAACAACAACAATCTATCCACTTTCCCTTTGCTTTTGAATGTTTTGCTAAGCTAACCATCTCTTTGCTGTAGTTTCATCTTCAGTAAACAGATATTCATATTGTATTTATCTTTTCGCATAGCTCTGTCTCTTCATCCAATTCAAAGTAGTCATAAAGCATTTATCAATAACCTTTAACATTTTAATGTAAAATGCTGAGGGCAACACTAATGGCATTATCCTACTGCAAATCATGTTCTTTCATACCTCCAGGCTAGATTTAATTTGTATTTCCACCTATGTGGGAATACATTTCAAAAAGCTACATAATGCGGGATTGGCTTCATTTTATTGCAAGGTGTTGGACACAGGAGAGATCTAAACCCTATGAAGTCTAATAAAGGAACATCTGCTAGCTGTGATAGACGAACACACTGTCGATCTTTGCCATTTTTTTGCTAGCA